AAAAAAAAATCATTTTTAACATTTTAAATTCCAAAGTATAAATTTATTCCCCTTTTCCCCCTTTTAGTCCATCTAGCATAACCTGTTTAATTTAGCTAGAATGATTACCATTTATTCTAATTTAATACAATTACTTGCTCTTATCAACAAAACCTAAGAGTTATCTATCAAACAGTATCTTTCATATGTGGTAACCAAAACTCAACAACTGCATAAAATTTCTTTAAATTCTTTAGAGAGCTTAAGATATAAATGTTTCCTTTCCACATATTTTTAATGTTATTATGTTTTTCAACTTAATGAATTCATATTCTAAGTATAACAAATAGGAAACAGAAAATTGCAAAGGTAGAATAAAAGTAATCTGAGTATATAAATCACTATCCAAACCCAAACCCACTGCTGTCAAGTAGAATGGCCCCCAGAGTTTCCAAGGCTGTAAAACTTTACAGAAGCACACTGCCACATCTTTCTCCCTCACAGCAGCTGACAGGCTTGAATCACTCATCTTCTGGCTAGTAGACAAATGCTTTAACCATTTAGCCAACAGCGCTCTTACAAATCTCTATACCTCTATTAAAATCTTTTTAAAGTTTCATTTTTTTTTTCTACTGAAGCCATCATTATAAGGAATATCTAAAATAAAACCAAAGCCAAAACTAAACCACACATCATTTTCTCAAATCTGTATCAAAGATTATAACATTAATCTGCTTGACATTTATGATTCAAGAAGCATCTTAATTCACAACACTGTAAAACATGCTCTATGAGAGGCATATCAAAATCTGACAATCTCAGAACCTGCAAATCAAGAAAACTATTTTTAGTCCTTATTAAAATTTGAAGTCATATTGAATATTTTCTACTTGTTGAAATACTAAAGTCAATGATGAGGAAAAAACTATAAAAGCGTACATATGGAAGATTCTAATAATAATATCTAAACACAAGTTTGTTTCTTACTGATGGAACTCGTTTTCTTCTAACTTCATTCTCAGCTGACATAAGAAGCAACTCAAGTTCCTTTATTTTCTTTTCCTTATCAGGGTCTTCACCAACAAAGGGCTGCTAATGTAAGTTAAATGAAAAAGAAAAACAGGCTAGTTAATAGCTTTATTATTATTAAAGTTCTAATTTTCATGTTCTTCTATCCAATGTGAAACAATTTTCTCTAATAAGGTTTAATGATACTAAATTCCAAATACTCAGTATCACAATCCATCTGTTATCTAAAGAGGTGCTGAAAATATTTTCTATTAAGCAGAAAAGATTTAAGAAAATTTAAATGCATAAAACATATTACAATTTATAATATAAACATATTCTATTTCTATTTAGCAAAAATATGTCCAGTCACAACTTGAATGCTTTAAGTTGGAAGAATGAAAAGACTTGTGTTTTCAACCATCTTACATATATTTTATATTTTTCAAACTCATACACTTTCTCCTTTAATGCTATCCAACTCAAAGAAAATAGAACAGATAGTACTGTTTCTGCCCTAGTTTTACTGATGAGGAAATAGGTACTATTGTTGTTGTTGTTGTTGTTATTTGCCATCGAGTCAGACCCGACTCACAGCAACCCCTCCCTGGGTTTCCAAGGCAGTATCGCTATGGAAGTAGATCACCCAACCTTCCTTCCGAGTGGCTGGTGGGTTTGAACTGCCAGCCTTCTGGTTAGCAGTCAAGTGCCTTAAGCACTATGCTACCATTTAAAAGCATTTCCTTTGTTTTAATTTTGTAATTTGTATTAATTATATATATAATTACCTGAATAAAGGCAGAAGAAGTTTGAACATGTTCTACACAATTGCCTTCAGGTGACACATACTGATAGCCTGGGATCTAAAAAGTAATTAAATCATTAATATCTTACATACAACATTATATACATTTCTTAAATTTTAGGCAAAGTACAAAAGTTTTTGGCAATATATCAACATTAAAAAATTCAGATGTCACCTTTATTAACTTTGAAAATTCATATCTATATGAGTTTCTTATTTATTAACTACATCTGTTCTTAGATGCTATTGATTAAAAATATTAAAATCATCTGATTTGACCTACTCACCAAATGGCAATGTAATTGAAAACCAGAATGTAAATTAGATCTAATCTTTCCTCCAAGTTTAGATTACAAAACATATTGATTTAATTTGGGATCTCAAATTTCAAGTCCTTAAAATGCACTGTTTTTAAGCTATGCTGTTGTTGTTGCATGCCACCAAGTCCATTCTGATTCATAATGACAGAGTATAACTGTCCCATAGGATTTTTTGGTTTTTGGTTTTTTTGTTTTGTTTTGTTTTAGTCTTTATATGGGAGAATTCTGGTGGCACAGTGGTTAAAGCATTTGGTTGCTAACCACAAGGTCAGCGGTTTGAACCCACCAGCTGCTCTGCAGGAGAAAGATGGGGCAGGCTGTTTCTATAAAGATTTACAGCCTTGGAAACCCAATGGGGCAGTTCTACTCTGTCCTGTAGGGTCGTTTTGAGTCAGAATCAACTGGTTAACAGTTGGTTTGAGTGGGAATCTTTGTAGAAGCAGATTGCCATGTCTTTTCTACTTTGGAGCTGCTGGTGGATTTGAATCACTTATCTTTAGGATTAGAAGCTGAATGGTTAACCATTGCATCACCAGGGCTCCTTAAGTCATTACATGTAAGAAAGACCTTTAACTTCTCCTCAATGAAATATGAGACTTATTAGCCTGATTTATCAGTCAATCAATCTACCTATTATCTACCAAATATTTTTTATAAAATCTGGTATTTGCAGGATCACTCCATCTCTTGGAAAAGATAAAATAAATGTGTTTCCTTCCCTCAGAGGAAGGACTTGAGAGAAGCACTCACAAGGTTGAAGAATAAACCAAGTTTTTCAAAGTTCCTATCTTCCACTCTTAGGAGCTCTGGTAGCGTAGTGCCTAAGGCACTTAACTGCTAACCAGAAGGCTGGAGGTTCAAACCTACCAGCCACTCCTTGGAAGGAAGGTTGGGCAATCTACTTCCTTAGTGATACTGCCTCGGAAACCCAAGGAGGGGTCGCTATGAGTCAGGTCCAGCTTGACAGCACATAACAACAACATCTCTTCTACTCTTAATACCACCCCATGCCAATCTCTGGGTAGGAAGATATGAAACAGAGGACTTCTTCTCTTACTTGTCTTAGAAAATCAATCAGAATCAATCAAGTGCTGTGAAAAGATACTGTAGCAATAGACTACGAATCATTCTGCTGCTTTTCTAAAACATTTGTAATAAGAATTGAAGTTGCTTAAGAATATAATATGCAGTGGGAAAAAGAAATGAGAATATATTTTAAAAATCTAATAAGTAAAAATATGATAGTCTACTTGCCATAATAGTTTATCTGAATCACTAATTATTATACACAACTTTTACCATGTTGTTGTGTTCCTTCGAGTTGATTTCAACTCACAGAGACCCTATGTTGTTGTTATGTGTTGTCCAGTCGGCCCCGACTCATAGCCACCCTTCCTTGGGTTTCCGAGGTAGTATCACTACACAAGTAGGATTGCCTAACCTTCCTTCCAAGGAATGGCTGGTGGGACAGAGTAAAACTGCCCCATAGGGTTTTCAAGGCTGTAATCTTTATGAAAGCAGACTGCCACATCTTTCTCCCATGAAGCAGCTGATGAGTTCTAACTGTCGACCTTTCAGTTAGCAGCCAAGGACTTCATTACCACGCCACCATGGCTCCTTATTTCTACCATAGGACTTAATTTTTACAGTGCATGATTCATATCATTTATTGTTCAATTTGGTAATTCCAATGGACTAGAAACACATCTTTCTCAAACTTTTCATAAAAATCTGTGACAGTATTTTAAGTCAATCAATTTTTTTAAGTGTCACTTTATAATAATTAGAATGATCTTCTTAGTAGTTTAAATTCATTGAACTAGGAATATAAAAGTCTTTTTAAAAGTATTAAAAACAGCATAAATGATTCCCAAAGTATAAGAAATATCTTTATCTTTCTAAAATGGAACATGCTTTGGTTTAGACTATTAAACAATACTCCCTTGATCACAAATAATGTTTAAAATGACCTTTCTATAATTCAAAAAAAAGTTAAACAATAACTTTTCTAAGATAGAAGCAGAATATTTTAATTTATGCTGCTAACAGAAAAATGTAAAGAAATCATGTAAACCATAAGGTACTGAGTATCACCAGATAACTAGACTGTCTTCACATGTTTTCCTATTTGTAAACTAAGATGTCAGTTCTTTTTATAGTATTTCATTTAAAATAATGCCTGAATAAATTAATAATGTTCATTTAATTTTAAAAAATCCAATGTTAGGCATAGTAAGTACAGATTTTTAACACTTAACCAAATTTCATCTTTTCGTAGATATTAAGTCCTGACTTAATCTTTTTCATTTCATGTGCCAAGAATCAAATACTGCTGAAAGTAAATATATATATATATATATATATATATATATATATATATACACACACATACATACATACATTTAGGAGCTCTGGTAGCATAGTGGCTAAGGCACTTGACTGCTAACCAGAAGGCTGGCGGTTCAAATCCACCAGCCACTCCTCGAAAGGAAGATGGGGCAATCTACTTCCGTAGTGATACTGCCACAGAAACCCAAGGAGGGGTCGCTATGAGTCGGGTTCGACTCGATGGCACATAACAACAACAACAACATATACATTTAGTTCCATTCCCATATATATATAGCACAACAGGCAGATAGGGAATTGACTGACATCAGCCAACTGACTGATTAGGGGACAAGCAAAGCTGAATGCCATTAAAAGAATCAATTATTTACCACATCCCCGAAATGATGGCTTGAGTAATTTCCCTTTTCATAAATACCATTTTATAATTCCCTACACCTCTTAGAGACAAGCAATGTTACAATTAAACACACACACACACACACACACACACAAAATGGAAACTAACATACCAAAAAAACAAATTCACTGCCATCAAGTGGGATCCGACTCACAGCAAACCCTTCTTGGGTTTCTGAGGCGGTATCACTACAGAAGTAGATTGCCCAATCTGCCTTCTGAGGAGTGGCTGGTGGGTTTGAACCTCCAGCCTTCTGGTTAGCAGTCAGATGCTTTAGGTGCTACACCACTAGAGCTCCCAGAAGCTAACATAGAGGGTATTAAAGCACTGACAACTATTAGCTTTGAATCATAAATGAAGATTCAAAGAATTATAGTATAAGGAAATGGATATATATTAAATTCCTTAACTAGATTATGTAAAAATTACATATAACAAAAAATATTTTAATGAGTTTATTCCAAAATATTTTTATCAGAAAATGGAGATAAATTTTCACTAATGATTTAACAGCTAGTTATGGCATGTATTTTCAATTAGGAAATTTAAATATCTATTTCCCTCTTGATATATGTCCTGCCTACCTCATTAAGAAACCACTTTCCCACAAAGCAATGAAATAAATTTTTAAAGAAAGATATTAAAAATACATGCCTGAACAGGTATGTAAAATTGATTCTGGGTTTGCAAATGATCCACAGCTGCACAAGGTTTGTGTGGAAGTTTAGAAGAAGATCCTTCTGATTTCATTCCATCTTGTAAGTAGCCCTCCTGTTCCACTTTTCTTCGCATTGTAGAATTCCAATGATTTTTGATAGAATTGTCAGTCCTAAGAAGTAAAAGTGGATAATTTAAAAAAAGAAAAGTAAATTCCACAAACTTTAACACTGTATAAATTGTACAAAGTGCTCAAAACAAATTTTTACAACTGGTGAAATCAGACAATTTTTAAACTTAAAAGATAATTAACTCCAAAACTAAAATTAAAAAACATACTAAAACTTTGTCAACAGCAACTCAATAGATTAGCTAGGAAACCTAGGGGGCAGTGAGTTTATGTAATGTGACAGGAATAATTCAGAAAAGGAAGGTAGAAGAATGTAATCAAATGTTACTGAATTGTACATGTAGAAAGTGTTGGATTGGTTTATGTTTTGCTATGTATATTGCTCAACAACTACAAAATAAAATTAGAAAAAAAATACTAAAACTTTAAGTTTTTACTTGAGCCAATTGATTGATTAGGGACAAGCAAAGCTGAATGCCATTAAAAGAACCAATTATTTACCACATCCCCAAAATGATGGCTTGAGTAATTTTGACTGTTTTCCCTTTTCGTAAATAACCATTTTATAAATCCCTACCTCTTAGAGACAAGCAAAGCTACAATTAAACACACACACACATGAAATGGAAACTAACATACATATAATTAATCATTCATTTATTTAGATAAGTGCCTAGATATGATACAGCAGTGGCTAAGACAAAGAAGGTCCCTGTTCTCCACGAAGCTTAAGTTCTAGCTGGAAGTAGAGCAGCAGGGCAGGGGAAAAGAACAGAAAAATAAAGATGTAAATAATAAGAAAAATATCAGATAATGCAATAAAATAATTTTAATAGGATAAGAGAAGTAGGTGACTAGCATAATCTTGATTAGTTAATCAGAGAAGGTCTAAGAAGGTGCCAATGAAGCTAAGATCTGAAAGAGAAGAAAGAACTAGCCATACAAGAACAGAAAAAAAGAGCATTCCAGATACAGAATATAATGAGGACAAAAGTCTAAGCCAGGAATAAGCATGACGCTGAAAAGCAAAACAGAATTTATAGGATCCCAATACTCTTTTTTTTAATTATTATTTTTACTTTAAGAGCTTGTTTTACATTCAGTGTCACTCGTACATTTAGTTCCATTCCCATTTGCCATGTCCAACCCTAACTAACCCCAGTCTCCTCCCCTCCCTAACCTGCAACCCTCCCCCCTGTGCCCCTCATAATTATGCACTCCTGTTTGTCCTGCATTTCCTGTTTGAATGTTGGTCCTCTGATGTCCCATGGTCTATTGCTCTAAGGGATGTATTACCATTGAGCATGTGGGTGCGGCATCCTGGGTTGAGTGGCCTGTGTGTACATCTTGTTAACTATTGGGCTGAGAGCCAGCCCCTGGGGGTGAGTTTTATTCCAGGGCCAAATGTATTTCAGGGCCATAGTACTGGGACTCTCACCAGATTTCACCTGACCAGTAATCCTGGTCATTATTGAGTTTTTGGATTTTGTTCCACGTTTTCCCTCCCACTCTATCCAGGATCTCCAGATTTGATCCTTTCCTGAGTGGTTGGCATTGGTAGTTGGGCACCATCCAGTTCTTCTGGTCGAGGGCCACCTTGTCCTAAGGCCGACTGCTTCTAAATGCTCTTTTTTTTTTCTTCTTCTTCACTTCCGATGCTAGGAGACCATTAGCTGCATCTTAGATGGCTGCTTGAAAGCTTTTAAGACCCCAGTCGCTACTCACCAATGTAGGATGTGGAGCAATGCTTTTATGTATTTTGTTGTGCCAATTGAATCTGGTGTACCCCACTACTATGGTCCTGCGGTAACAGATCTATTGGATCTCTCTCCCATAGTGTCGGGATGTCTGTGAGGGATTACTCTGTGTCTGTCTTCTATTGTTTCTGTAAGGACTGCAGGTATTTTGCATCACTGGTGTCTGTACAAGATTAGCCTCAGCTGAATCTATCCTTGGTCTAGAATATACCTCTATTCACTGACCCCTGTCCAATCATCTCAGGTGTTAATGTGTTTATCTGTATAGCTTAGTGTTTGGTGTTAATGGCAATGTGGTATTGTGGATACACTGGTTGGTATTAACATCTGTTGTCTATCTCTTATGTGCACAGTTCGGTGTCCTCTCATTTCCCAATGTCATTATGGTGGTCATATATCCTTCTCATATATCCCTCTCCCTACTCATGTCAGTGTGTAAGCCCCAACTAGTCCTAAATTAATCCCTCCCATTCCCTCCCCATCCCGGTAACCTACTAGGTGAGTTCCTTTTCCCAAGCAAATCCTTCTCTGTCTTTTTACAGTAATGGTCTCATACAGTACTTGTCTTTCTGCGACTGACTTATTTCACTCAGCATAATGTCCTCCAGTTCATCCACGTTGCAAGATGATTCGCGTATTCCTCATTGTTCTTTAATGTGGCATAGTATTCCATTGTGTGGATATACCATAATTTGGTTATCCACTCATCCGCTGATGGGCATTTAGGTTGTTTCCATCTCTTTGCTATGGTGAATTGTGCTGCAATGAACATACATGTACATATGTCTGTTTGTACGCTATCTCTCACCTCTTTAGGATATACTCGTAGTAATGGAATTGCTGGGTCAGATGGTACTTCTATTTTCAGTTTTTTTTTAAGGAAACGCCATACCATTTGCCATAATGGTTGTACCATTTTACAATCCCACCAGCAGTGCACAAGACTTCCAATCTCTCCACAACCCCGCCAGCATTTGTTACTATCTGATCTGTTGAACTTTGCTATTATTGCTGGGGTGATATGATATCTCGTTGTTTTGATGTGCATCTCTCTAACAATTAATGCAGCATCACAATAAATGGAGAGAAGATTGAGGTTGTCAAAGAATTCACGTTGCTTGATTCTACAATCGATGCCAATGGAAGCAGCAGTTAGGACATTAGACGACATGTAGCATTGGGAAAGTCAACCACAAAGGAATTATTTCAAGTGCGAGGAGTAAGGATGTCTCCTTGAGGACTAAGGTGTGCCTGACACAAGTCATATTTCCAGTCAACTCGTATGCATGTGAGAGTTGGACAATGACTAAGGAAGACCAAAGAAGAGTTGATGCTTTTGAGTTGTGGTGCTGGTGAAGAATGCTGAAAGTACCATGGACTGCTAAAAGAACTAAAAGATCTGTCCTGGAGGAAGTGCACCCGAAATGCTCCTTGGAAGTGAGAATGGCCAGACTACGTCTCACCTATTCTGGTCATGTTATCAGAAGGGGCCATTCCCTGGAAAAGGATGTTATGCTTGGTAGGGTGGAGGGTTGACGAAAGTGGGGGAGGCCTTCAATGAGATGGATTGACACGCTGGCTGCGATGATGGGCTCAAGTATAGCAGGGATCATGGAGTTGGCGCGAGATCGGGCAGTGTTTCGTTCTGCTGTGCATGGGGTCGCTATGAGTTGGAAATGACTCAATGGCACCTAACAACAACAACAACGATTAATGATCGTGAGCAACTTCTCATGTGTTTGTTGGCTACTTGTATATCTTCTTTGGTGAAATGTCTGTTTAAGTTTTTTGCCCATTTGTGAATTGGGTAATTTGTCTTTTAGGTGTTGAGGTGTTGAAGTTTTCTATAGATTTTAGAGATAAGTCGTTTGTCAGCTATGTCATAGGCAAATATTTTCTCCCAATCTGTAGGTTCTCTTTTTACCCTTTTGAGGAAATATTTCGATGCACATAAAAATTTAATTTTTAAAAGGTCCCAGTCATCTAGCTTCTTTTCTATCTCCTGCATATTCTGGGTTATGCTTGACAGTCTATTTATGCCATAAATTAGGGCTCCTAGATTTGCCCCTATTTTATTTTTGATGAATTTTATAATTTGGGGTTTTATATTTAAGTCTTTGATCTAGCTTGAGTTTGTTTTTGTGTATGGGGTGAGGTATGGGTCTTGTTTCATTTTTCTACAGGTGGATATCCAGTTTTGTCAGCACCATTTGTTAAAGAGGCTATCTCTTCCCCATTTAATGGGCTTTGGGCCTTTGTCAAAGATCACTTGTCCATAGATGGATGGGTCTATGTCTGAACTTTCGATTCTGTTCCATTGGTCCATCTGTCTATCATTGTACCAATACCATATTGTTTTGACTACTGTGGCTATATAGTAGTTCTTAAGATCTGGGAGTGTGAGACCTCCCACTTTGTTTTTCCTCTTTAGAAGTGCTCTGTTTATTCCAGGTCTCTTTCCTTTGGATATGAAATTAGAAATTAGTTTTTCCATGTCTTTAAAAAATTTTGTTGAGATCTGGATCAGGATTGCATTAAATATATAGATTGCTTTAGGTAGTATTGACATCTTCATAATATTTAGTCTATCTATCCATGAACAAGGCAGGTTCTTCCATTTATGTAGTACCCTTGTTGTCTCTTGTAGCAGTGTTTTATTGTTTTCTCTGTATAGGTCTTTTGTGTCTCTGGTGAGGTTTATTCCTAGATATTTTATCTTTTTCACAGCTATAGTGAATGGTATGGTTTCCCTTATTTCTTTATCAGAGGAGTCCTTGCTGGTGTAGAGAAATGATTTTTGTATGTTGATCTTGTATCCTGCCACTTTGCTGAACCTATTAGTTCCAGTAGTCTTTTTATTGAGTCCCTTGGATTTTCTATATATAGGATCATATCACCTGCAAATAGAGATAGTTTTAATTCCTCTTTGCCAATATGTATGCCTTTTATTTGTCTTTCTTGCCTTATTGCCCTGGTCAGGACTTCCAATACAATGTTAAATAGAAGTGGTGATAGACGGCATCCCTGTCTGGTTCCCATTAGTTATATACCCTTTATTATGTTGAGGAATTTACCTTCTATCCCTATTTTGCTGAGAGTTTTAAACAGGAATGGATGTTCAATTTTATCAAATGTCTTTTCTGCATCAATTGATATAATCATATGGTTCTTTTCCTTTGTTTTGTTTATGTGGTGGATTACATTGATTGATTTTCTTATGTTGAACCACACTTGCAAACCTGGTATGAATCCCAGTTGGTCCGGATGTATTAACTTTTTGATATGTTGTTAGCTTCTGTTGGCCAGGATTTTGTTTAAGATTTTACATCTATGTTCATGAGTGATGTTGGTCTGTAGTTTTTCCTTTCTAGTGTTGTCTTTCCCTGGTTTTGGTATTAATGTTATGCTTGCTTCATAAAATGAGTTTGGGAGTACTCCATCTTTTTCTATGTTCTGGAATAGCTTGAGTAGCATAGGTGTCAACTCTTCTCTGAATATTTGATAGAATTCTCCAGTGAAGCCATCAGGGCCAGGACTTTTCTGTGTGGGAAGTTTTTTTATAACCTGTTCAACTTTCCTTCCCTTGTTATAGGTCTGTTCAAGTTTTCTACTTACGAATGGGATAATTTAGGTAGGTCTTGTGATTCTAGAAACTTGTCCATCTCTTCTAGATTCAAATCTATTGGTGTACAGTTTTTCATAATATTCTGTCATTATCTTTTTTATTTCAGTTGGTTCTGTTGTGATGACACCATCTTATTTACAATTCTTGTGATTTGGATCTTCTCCTTCTTTTCTTTTGTTAGGTCTATCAATGGTTTATCAATCTTTTAGAAGAACCAACTCTTTGTTTTGTTGATTTTCTCTATGGTTTTTTTGTTTTCTGTTTCATTTATTCTGCTCTGATCTTTATTATTTCCTTGGTTATAGATACTGTAGGAGTGATATTCTTTATCACTTCTTAGACCAAAGTATCCATGAGAAGAAAGCGTTCATTGGCCTCTGCTTTTACCTAAGCTTCCCTTTATAGAAATGACAATCTTCATTCTATAGCTACTTATAGCATAAATTCCGTACTTCATAAAATAGATGAGCATTTACTGAAAATCTCCTTCATGTTAAGGCACTAAGCTAGGCTCTAAACAAAGTAAAAAGCTGTATGTTGTTGTTGTTGTTATGTGCCGTCGAGTTGGACCCGACTCATAGCAACCCCTCCTGGGTTGCTGAGGCAGTATCACTACGGAAGCAGATTGCCCAACCTTCCTTCTGCGGAGTGGCTGGTGGGTGTGAACCGCCAGCCTTCTGGTTAGCAGTCATGTGCCTTAGGCACTATGCTACCAGAGCCCCTAAAAGCTGTATAAGAGATTGAATATAACAGCAATCCCCAGACTAGCTTCAGTAACTTGGATAAAAAACTTAACACTATACTTTAATTTCCTTATCTAAAACAGACAGCAATTTTTCCTCACAAGTATATGAAGAAATTAAGAACGTACATAAAATACTTTATGAAGTACTATATAAATAAAAGATTACAAAACAATTCAATTCATTTTCTGATGGAAGTATGAATTTTCCCAAGGCAATTGGTCTATTATACTAAAGACTATTAGGTAAAATTTGAACCAGAGAAAAGTACAGTACACTTAGCCCACAATTACCTCTGAGGAAAATTCCATTTTTTAGCCACATGGAGATAGATGATAGATACATTCGATAAATAGATAGATACTACTCCCAAGTTTTGATCTTATCATCATTAATTAAGAATTGAATTTTTCCTAAAGCACTCTCATAGTAATTTATATCAGTCAGTGTATTTGTTATTCTCTGGTCTTATGCATAGAACACAATACGAAAGAAATGTTAGATTTACATTCCATTCCAACTGAGTTTGTACATACACTTCCTGGCTGAGATGCATATGTTAACATGATTTTGGGGGTATATTAGATGTTTATATAATCTACAGATCTATTATTTTATTGCTATGAAAACTTACATTTAAAAAGTTATATATCCCTTAGCACAGAATTTACTACCAACAGCCTCAAAGAGTTGCTTGCATTAAATTTTAATTCTAAATAAAATATGTCATGAGGTATTTGAAAATAAATTTAACAGACATGTATTAAAAATCACATTTAAATACAGCAAAATGTATCTACATTTATATAAGCACCTTCCAGGAAGCAGTTTGGCAATTTCTGCCCAACGATTTCCCAATCGCTTATGTGCTTCATAAATTATCCTGTCCTCCTCTTCTGTCCAGGAAGATTTCTTTACCTCAGGATTCAGATGGTTATGCCATCTTTCTCTACACTGCTTGCCTATTCTTCCTTTTAAATGCTTTGCAATTAAAGACCATCTTTTTGGTCCATATTTCTGAACTAATTCAATAACCTAAAAAACAGAAAAACAAAGTTTAAAAAAGTAGTCCCTTGACAGAATTTAAAAACATAACTCAAGAACACCATTTTAAATAAATACATTAAATCAAAATCACAAGTATAATTTACAAAAAATAATTATCTTAACAAATGACTCCTTCAACATTTATCAAGTTCAAAAATTGATCTTAAATTTATCTAAAATACAAAAAGGACTTAAAATAACTTATAATTTGAATGGCTTTCATAGAAAATTAATATGAAATAGGAGTAAGTGTTGAGACTTGTGCATTTTCTATTAAAGAAAACAAAATAGGAAAAGAAAAAAAAAAAAAACCTCACAGCTGAATACCGAATAAATCAGTTTGGAAGCAGGAACTATCTACAGAGTACTGGTTTTTCATGTCTCCCTTTCTCAAACCAAAAAGATACACATCACACATTTTAAAACTTATTATTGGCCATCAACTAAATCAGGTCAATATCGAACCTTTTTTTATTTTTCCCTCAATAGCTTTGAGTGACAGTAAAAACTAAACAAACCAAAAACCCAAACCTGATATTGCTGAGTCAATTTCAACTCACATTGATTCCATGTATGGCAGAGTAGAACAGGTCCATAAGGTTTTCTTGGCTGTAATCTTTACAGAAGTAGATTTCTGGGCCTTTGCTCTGCGGTGCCACTCAAAATAATACTGCCATGAAGTTGATTCGACTCATAGCAACCTCTCCTTGGGTTTCCGAGGCAGTATCAAACCACTAACTTTTAGATTAGTAGTCAAGCACAAGCCATTTGTGCCACCCAGGACCTTTAGTGGCAGTAAGGATACTCTAATTTTTCAATTACATTATTTTTATGTCATAAAGGCATGAACTCAAGAGAAATTTCCAGCAGAGGGTAAAAATTCTCTCATTCTTCTCAGACATTTAGAACATAAATAATTAGCTTGGTTTTTAAGCCCTTTGTAAGCATGATAGTCCGATATCCATCTTATTTGGGGGCTTATTTAATTAAGAGGGAAATTTAAGAACAGCTTCTCTATATAGCAAGTTGTTACATGTAAAAATAAAAGTTATCAGATACAAAATTAAAATCCCTTTTTAACAAATTAATTGCAATTTTGACAGGAAAATGCACCCTAAATGTTGCCAGTCTAAGCTTTAAGCAAAGGTGACTAAGTTGATAGCAAGTATTTTTCCTTCTGTAAACCACTCAGAAAGAAAAGGGCTATATCTAATATACTTGCTTTGACTTAATCAGAAAAAAGCTACGTATGAAGATACCCAATATTCAATTATTTTGTAAGCAGCTACCAGAAAACAAAATCAAAGTGATTAAATATATAATTTACAATTAAATATATAAATATATATTTATAACTTAAATATTTATTAGGAAGAACAAAAGCTAGTCCATCAACACAGTGAAAATGAAAAATAAGAACATGTTACCCTCTGATCTTCTTCTTTGGTCCAGGGACCCTTTATCAATTCTGGATTTAAAACTTTCTGCCAACGATGCTGGCACTGAAAATCAGAACGATTCTGAAATAATTTAGATATTTTAGTTATTGAATAACTGTCTTTCAGAAATCAAATCAGCCCAAACTTAATGTCTCATAACCTTAAGAATCAAGTCTTCAAGAATAGTGCAATCATTTAACCCAAAACAAACAAACAACACACTGCCATCAAGTCAATTCCGACTCATAGCGACCCTATAGGACAGAGCAGAATTGCCTCATAGGGTTTCCAAGGCTGTAAACCTTTCTCCTGTGGAGCGGCTGGTAGTTTCAAACCACTAACCTTTTGGTTAGTAGCCGAATGCCTTAAGCACTGTGCCACCAGAGCTCCTAATCACTCGACAGTATTCTTTAAATATGTAATACTTATTTTACATGCCTAGGTGCCAATTCTTTTCTAAATTAGTCATTAACAATGCTTAGACTATAAATAAATAAAAACAGTATATATTTTAAATTAAAGTGTGTATCTCTAGACTGTATCTTATAATATAGCAAGCAGCAAAGTCATGACACAGATACTGCCATAAAGAAATGAAGCTAGCAAAATCATAAAAAAAGACCAGACTTTGTCAAGTTTGATAAAGATTAGTGAAACCCCCAAGACTATGGTCCCGAGTTACCTTTCAGACCTAGAACAGAACTCACTCCCATGGCTTAACTTTCAGCTAATCCACAGACAGGCCTATGAGCTGAATACATGCACCCAGAAGATGCACTCCTTAGAACAATCAACTGTGGGAGATCAGAAGGGTAGCATTTTCTCTGGGAGAAAGGTAGGGAGATAGGAATGCATAGGCAAGGAAGACACAGGGGAAGGGTAACCACAAGGAAGAAGTGGGAGGTGAGAAGTTATACTGCAGAGAACGTAACCAACATCACAGAACAAAATGGGTATGAATTGTTGAATGTAAAACAAATCTGCTTTGTAAAATTTCACCCAAATCACAATAAAAAGTTAAAAAAGAAACAGAAAATAAAAGAAAAATGGAGCCAGGATTGAGAAATAAGAGTGAACAGATAGAAAACTATAAAAAGTAGACATACAAATTCAAATAGCATAGCAGTCTGGATTGATATAGCAGAGAAATACATAACCCTATACAATAAAAAAGCCCCTAAAGGTATTATTAGACCACTACATAGTATTATGAGGATATTTTAAAATGATGACCCTCAAGTTATCAAGAAAATGTTAAATACATCTATTCAGAAAATGTGCTTTAATTTTAAATTATTTAGATGTCAAAGTTTAAAAGGAAAATAAATTTACCAGGGTAAGAAAGTCTGATGTGGAAACATCTCAAACCCCCAAAATTATTAATAAATTAAGTCTTAATTTAGTTTGTTATCTGCTAACTCCTATTTACTACAAGGATGTAGAATTAATGTTTCACATTCATAAAGATATTAGTTCATACATAGGACTACAGATCATCTAGACAGATACAAAGGAATAAATGCAAATATTTTGTCAACCAATGGCTCTGTTCTTGTGCCCAATAAAATTCAAATTACTTTTGTTCACACAGAGCTTCTGTACATCGATTCTGATCCATTCTAAGTCTATCGTTTTCTTCAAAAAATTTTCTCGGAATACTTCTCTGTTACCTCATTTGCTTTATATCATTAAAGTAACAATGATAAAGGTAATATAATCTTAATTATTAATTATCCTAATCCTAATAACTATTTAGTTTCTATTTATTGAACACCCGCTAATTCTCAGGAACTGTACAAAGCACTCCATATGTTATTCTTAATTCTCACAATACTATAAACAATTTCTGATCTACATACCACAATTAAAGAAAGCTGAGAGTGAACGAGGTTAAGTAATTTTTCTGATAAAAAACAGCTAGCAGTACTGACATCTGAATAAAATTCAGATTGACTTCAAAACTATGTTCTTTCCATTCTTTGGTCTCAATTTTCAGGTTGAGAAGCATTATGAAAATATGGAAAGAACACAGATGATGATCTGGTTTCTGAAATCCGAAGTAGTCAACATCTAAATCCAAATATGAATACTGCCTACCTACCAACAGTGCAGTAGGTACAATAAGAGTAGGTGAGATAATACTTCATAAATTACAGAATTACATTAAAATGAATAGATGACTAATAGCATGATGATAGTAATCATAATTTCTTAAAAAAACAATCAGTAACACTTTAAATGTATGCCTTATATGACAAACTTTTTCAAAAGAACTTTTTTTGATTTGGCAGTTACTTCGATATATATAAGCTAATATTTATAAAGCTCTGCTTAAACATAACATCATTTTTGTTTTAGTAATCTTTTTAGGACCCTCGATAAATGTATTTACTGAAAAATTAAGACTTCCTAAGCCATTAGCAACTATAAGCAGGTAAGAACAATACAGATCCTTTTTAGGAAGGAAACCTAAATATAAAACAAGTAAACCCTATTTTGAAAAACAGCAAATTTAACCCAGTGGCCTAAAGCAGCCATTTTAAAAATAAAATGTTGCACTTACTTGAAGATGACTAGCAATTAGAGTCCAATCATCAGTTCCATGCTGTTCAACCAACTTCTTTAATTTATCATCCTATTGAGACAGGTATGAAAATTAGAAAGCTTTCCCTACACCATTTCTCTTCCCCCAGATATATACACATTTCCAATTCTGTCATGACATACCTGATGGTCATTTTTAGAAGGACTGAAACAACTATAATACAAGTTACCCCCATTAACTATTATGCCTTTGTCAAGGTCCTATCAACCTGCAATTCATGTCTCTGAGGAGCTCTGGTGGCACTATGGTTAAAGCATTGGGCTGCTAACTAGAAAGTTGGTGGTTTGAACCCACCAGCCGCTCTGTGAGAAAAAGATGAGGCAGTTAGCGTCCATAAAGATTTACAGCTGTGGAAATCCAGTGCAGCAGTTCTACTCTATCCTGTACAGTTGCTACAGTCAGAATTGACTCAATGGCAGTGGGTTTGGTTTTTAGTATTCCTGTCTCTGGCTGAAGAAAAAGAAAGTACAAGATGGTGATGGATGATATTTCTGATGTTTTGTTTTAAGATACAATTCACATCTATTGTACTATTAATAAATAAATACATGATTGAAATTAGAATATCCTGTCAAATAATTACCTCATCTCTTGTCCATTTTACTCTATTCCAGAGTTTCTTCAATCCTTTTTGCTGTGGTATTTCATAATCATGATCAACATACTGAAGGTCATCATCCTCATCCTCACTACAAAAAAATACAATTCATGAAATCTAGAATTTTATTTAAATTTGTGAATTCAATCATTAAACTTATCTGTGTATGCAGGTATGACTGAAGAAGCTTTTCAGATTAAATGACAATAATGCAATTTGATTATTCAAAGCAGAAAAATTTAGAGATATACAACAGAGGAGAGCTATAATTCTCACTGACAAAGAGATGAGGCTAGATATGTCACCAAAGGTGATGACACGATGCTAAGGGATATGACCTTTATTCTAAAGCTATAAAGAGTTAAAGTATTTTAAGTAAAAGAATGAAAGATAAAATTTGTATTTGTGTTTTAGGAAAATCACTGGCAGGAGTGGAGAACTGGAAGAAGGATAACCAATTAGGAATCTTTAACAATAATCTGAGTAAGAAATTATTAGGACCTGACAAATGGTAATGGCAAAACATAAATCACAACCAATTAAAGACACAAAGGAAGAAATGATCCATTAGCAATGCCTACCACCACCACAACAACAAAAAACTCAAAATATCTAGAAATAATAAAGTACAAGATCAAGAAACAGTAAATGACAAAACACCACTGTGAGACAAAAAAGACTTGGACAAATGGAGAAAAGTTTAGATCACAGTCTTGGATGAGAGAACACTATTACAGAGCTGTCCATCACCCAAAATAAATCTATAAATTTAAATTTAATAAATATAAATATCAATAGACTTTGGAAAGGAATAAGACAAGCTGATTCTATAATTCATATAAAGAAAATAAACAAGCAATAATAGAAAAGTTCCAAATACAAAGGGGATATGAGCATTTTCCAACAGTCAAATGCATGGTAGAGCAATAATAAATAAAACTAAATGGTACTGGCACAAGAATAGACACACAAACCAATAGAACAGAATAGAATATTCAGAGGAAAAAAAAAAGCCTAAATCCATACAGGAATTTGACTAATTATAACAACAGAAAAAGATAATTTTTCAACAATGTTAAGATACTGGGTATCCACTTAGAAAAATAAGTTATATGTGTAATTTATAATAAAATAAATTCAATTTGCACAAATACTTATATTTTTCATAAAAGAAACCATAAAAACAATATAAGAAAATCAGGAGAATTTTATTTTTTATATCCTTGGTAAGAGAGATCTAAATGCAACACAAGTCAAGAAACCATAAAGGAATAGACAAAGTAATGGTAGTAGAAATGGAAAGAAGTATATAGATAATATTAAAAAGACAGAAATAAATGGATTTTGCAACAGATGGAATAATCAAGGATGACTGGCTTTGGGAATGTAAGCAGAGCTATTCACTAAGATAAGGAATAGAAAAGAGAAAGAAATTTGGGAGGGAAAAGGGAAAGGAGAGAGTAAAAGTTTTGCACTAGCTGATTTCAAAGTAATTTATATATATATATATATATATATATATATATATATATCACTATATGTATACATATTTCATGATATACATATGTCATGATAT